GCAAAATGTCATGGTTCATCACCAAAAGGTTCTTCCTTATGAAAACAAGTCCTTTTAGATGCTTTGGGACGGTCAAGTGGAACCAAGGAGAAGGCCCAAAGCTCACAGAAATGGGATGGTGGAGATGGGAAAGAAGAGCCAAAATATGAGGGAAAATGGAGCAGGGGGAGCTCCTGAGGAGAGACTCGAAGTGAGCGGAAGGAAGTTTAGAGGCTCGGCGTGGGCTAACGCACCAAACGTGACTCAAAACACAGAAGGACTAAAAAAAAAATCTCCTTAGGGCGCTTTTACACCAAAAGTGGTTAACTACAAAAATGTAGCTCTAGTTTTGTGTATTATACTGTAAAAAATTTGAATGCAATTGGACCAGTATAAAGTACATTTTTAGCCACTCAAATTTCACACAGAAAGAAAACAGGTTCCAAAAAAGTGTTCTTTTTTTGAGCTCAATTATCTCGCTTTTTATAAGAGATATCAAAAAATAAATAACTGATAAAATGTTCCTGATATTTTGATAAACATTTTATCACTTATCAGCTTTTTGGTATCTTTTGTAGGAATCAAGATAATTCAAATCAAAGAGTAACTAGGCTCACTCACCACTCCCTCCCCACTTTCAGATGAGTTCTGGAGGTGGGCAGCTTCCATGTCGCATATCTCGCTAGGGCGCGTTTGCAAAAAAATGTTGTTAACTTTTAAAATGAAGCTCTCGTTTTGTTTACTATATAGTCAAAATTTCAGCTAGTTTCGTTCAGTTTAAATAGCTTTGCTAACGATTCAAAGTTTGTTTTTGATTTTTTCAAAAAAATTTGTTGAAAAAGTTTTTTGAGCTGTCTCAAAAGCTTCAGATTTTTAAAAATTTAACAAATAGAAATTTTTGTAAAATTCTTCTGTTCCAATTTCCCATTTTCTCATTGCTCATGCTCTCTTCTATGACTCATACCATTCCACTTTTATTGCAATGCCCTATTCTTTTCTCTATTTCTCTAAACCCTCCCACTCTTCCTCTCTATCCGACTATATTATCAGCTGATAAACAGTGTTTCTAATAGGAATAATCCATATTTTTCGAATATCCATCTTCCATATCTCTCTCCTTTTGCCTCGTGCCGCCCATCTCCTCTTATCTTAGGGCGCAATCTCCGCCTTTCGTCTCTATTCATATCCTTTCTGTTCTCAAAATTCAGGTTTCTTGGACAACAAAATCTGTGAAATTCTACAGGAATTGACTCCAAGATGTCTGATCAATCACTGGTTCAACGGGTACCACTGCTCGCGTCGTGCTCACAGGTGAGTCTTTTGATAAAAGGTGGGAAAAGTTAATTTGAAGGGTTACTGTAAGAGATATCAAAAAGTTTTAACTGATAAAATGTTGCTGATATTATGATAAACATTTTATTAGTTGACAAAATTTTGATATATTTTATAGAAACCGAGGTAATTAAGCTCAAAGCGAACGCCGCTACTGAGCTACGCGATTGACAATGCTACCCTTATTTTCGACCTAAATGATCTCGCTTTCTATAAGAGATATCAAAATGTGGTCAACTGATAAAATTTTGCTGATATTATGAGCAATATTTTGTTAAGTGACCACTTTTTGATATCCTTCACAGTAACCGAGATAAATTGGCTCAAAGTTAGGCCGCCTTTCTATCCGGAACACCAAAGACATTTTCCGATTTATCTGAAAGTTTGAGCTTCTAGAGGATATTTTGAAAAGGTTCAATTCAAAATTACAAATCACTCTGAATATGAAAAACTTCCTGAACAAATGTTTTTATCTCTATTTTGTCAATAGAGCTCAATATTTTCTTTGTCAATATTTTTAAATGTATTTTGACTTTGAGCGACTACGAAAGTACTTAGTACTTGTTCAATTGTTCTGAAAATTTCAGAGTATATCAAACAAAACAAACGCTTCATTTTTGTAATTAACACCTTTTTTGTGCAACTGCGCCCTAATGAGATGTACAGCATGAAACAACATGCGTCTACCTTCAAGGTAGGACGTCACCCTATACTTGCAACTCAATTATCTCGGTTATGAAAAGAGATATCAAAAATCTGTCAACTGGTGAAATATTTCTGATAATATGATGAACATTTTATCAATTGACGAACTTTTGACATATGTTATAAGAACCGAGATACTTGAGCCCAAAGTCAAAGAAGGGGATGGCTCAAAGAAGGGGTCTCGTATGATATGTACTCGACCATTTTTGGCCAATTTCCGAATTTACAATTTTAACGAATTTTATACGAATTTATAGACAACTTCAAAATTCACATTTTAATCTAAAAATTAGTTCAAACAGTTGAGTTTGAAGGAAGTTACGGTACTTGCAAAACTACTTGCGCTCAAAGGTGCAAAGTTGCTTGAGCTCTGACTTTGACCCAAATTATCTCGGTTCCTTTAGGAGATAACAAAAATAGGTAAACTGATAAACTGACAAACATAATATGACCAACACTTTATCAATTGACAAATTTTTGAAATCTCTTATAGGAACCGAGATAACTGAGCTCAAAGTGAGTCTTCTATTAGAGAAAAGTTACCGTGATGATCCATCACTCATTGTCCTCCATTTCCCATCATTTTCCAATAGGTCATGCACTTTTCAATATCCCATTTGAATTCAAAAGAAATTGCCGAAACAGAATGGGTTATCCTCGATTTTCCGGCGCCGCTGGAGAGATCCAGATCTCGTTCTCTGCTTTTCTCTCTCTCTCTCTCTCTCTCTCTCTCTCTCTCTCCAGTTACTGTCTCTCTTCTAATGCCAATTCATCCGCGCGCGTCCTCTTTTTCTCCATCCATCTGACTGTTCTTCTTCTTCCTCTACTTTTTCCTCCCATGTCAACTTTTGCAATCCTCATTCAACACAAAGATTCGTGTCTCCGGATGTGTCATCGATTTGTTATCTTCTCTCTAGATTCTTTAGAATGTTGGAATTTCCAATAAATCTCCTTCTAGCTTGTCGTTGTACTTGGCTATGGCAGTAAGCGGGTTTAAAAAACACGTCATATCTTCTTTGAAATTCAACATTTATTCACCAGCTAAAATGGATATGATAGGAAAAATTATGAGCTACAGAATGATATTAATTGGATTACTGTATCTTGTCTATGAACAAAGTTATAGGCCAAAATGGTTTCTTTTTTGATTAGTTTGAAGAATGTTATTTAGTTGTTCAATCTCGACCTATTCTGACATTTGCGAAATATTTTCCACGAATTTTTCATGAAAAAATTCAAAAATCCGAAAAAAAGTACGGTAGAGCGCAAATACAGAAATCCAATTCAAATTCTGGGGTTATTTTTCGATTTTCAGGCTATTTTTCGCATCCGTAAAATCGTTCAATTTTTTTCGTTTTTTTCGGAAAATTGAGAAATTTAAAAAGCTTACTTTTTAAAAAATCCCTGGCGGAAAACCGGAATTTTCTTTTTTTCTTTAAAATTTTGCTTTCTATTTACAGCTGTGCTTGTTGTTTTGTTCGCTAAACGCACTTTGTCACATTCTTCCAGTTTTCCCGAAAAAATCTCAATTTTTTGGTTTTTAGTAGTGTGCTGTGTCGATTGTTGACAATCGACAAAAATCGACGAAAATCGTTAAAATCGGTGTCGATTTCGTCGACTCGAGCAAAAATCGACATTCAAAAAGTCGACAGAAAATCGACTTTTCAAAAGTCGATGAAAGTGAAAATCGACGAAAAATCGACGAAAAAATCGACTTTTGTCGACTTTATTGTCCGAGAGGACTACACGGCCGGTGACCTAGAAACTGCCTGTGGCCGGGGTATTTTTCATGAAAAACAGGCAATTTTCATCGAATTTTCCACTGAAAAACCGTGTTTTTCTTGTTTTTTTTTGGGTGTTTTGTTTTTTTTCTGTTTCATTTATGACATTCTTGCTTATTGCAGATGAATTCGTCACAAAATCAATCTAAAGCGTGGCGATACTTCGAAAAACAAAATAACGGACAAACTGCGACCTGTAAACTGTGCGGAAGGAGCATAAAGTTCCACTCTTTGACCACAACGATGCAGAAAATTTTATATTTTTTGTTAAATTCTTATTCTTAGATAGTACATAAAGATCAAGAGCCACGGAATCCAATAATTGGAAAAAATCACTTTGGAGTAAGATATTAAAGCTTATTTTTCCTCAAGATCTGATTTTTCTTCAGATCTACGAAGAAGAATACGCCGACAACAGAAGAGTACGAATATGATGACGAGAACGATGACTCAGAAGGCGTGGAATATTTCGAATCCAGAGAGCATAACGATGATACTTTTGGAAACGATTTGGCCCAAATAATGAAACATTAATTTTTAATGCTGAACTTTGTTCTTCTGTTTCTTCTGTTTTTCAAAATTTTGCCGCTTTGAATTACATACTGATTCTCTATTTTGTACCCCCGTTGAAATTAAGTTTTACACTATTTGTTTTTTTATTCATAAAATTAAAGTTGTTACTCTACACAAAAAATGATTTCTTCAAAAAATTAGAAAAAAAATTTTCTCGAGGTGAAATTTCACTTTGAAGTCCGGAAAAGTCGATTTTTCGTCGACTTTTGTCGACTTTTTGTCGACTTTTGTCGATTTTTCTGTCGATTTTAAGTCGACGCGAAATCGACAAAAGTCGATTCTTGTCGATTTCTGTCGATTTCCGTCGACGCAAAATCGACAAGAATCGATTTTCGTCGACTTTCGTCGACTGAAAGTCGACAAAAATCGACAACGAAAAGTTCGATTTTCATCGACAAATAGCCTTGTCGAATTGTTGAATGTCGACTGTGTCGATTTTCAAAGTCGACAAAAATCATCGATTTTCGAGTCGACTCGGCACTCTAGTTTTTAGCCTAAATTCCACCTAAAAACCTTATTCGCTCAGAAGCCCGCGCAAAACTTCTTGCATGCGCCTTTAAACTACCGTAACCCATATTTTCCGCGAAGTTTAAAAATTGAATTTCAGTGTTGTATTTTCAGCAATGTTTCTCTAATTTCTGCGTCCCCTTTCCCTTCCATTAACCCATTATCTTCCTGTAGCAATCATAGGTGCGAAAGTTGAGTGTGTCTGCGTCTCCACCGCTTCACACACTATTTCGTTTGCCCTGTCCTTCAACCCTCTGCGCAGACGCTGTCATCATCTTTCTGTTTTCAACAATACATTTCTTTACTTCCTCTTGTGATTTATTTTTATCGATTTTCTAAATACCTAGATTTTAAAGAAATGGATTCGTTCAAACGGTTACAATCGAAAGTTTTCACATCGGTTAGCTCATTGAGAAAAACTGATGAATCTGTGAGTATGCGGGATTATCAATAGAGCGTATTTCGAATTTTTGAAAGTTTGAAAAGAAAAATTCCAGCCAAATGAACAAATCTACAACACCAAACGATGCTTCGTGCATGTCAATTATTTATCGATTGCCATTGCCGTCGTGGAACTCTCGATTTTGATCTACCAGGTGAGATTAGAGCGCAATTGCATTTCTAGGCTACCTAACTTTGCCCAGGGGAGCAATATTGTGTGGCGCCAAACGCAATCGCGCTCCGCTGGATAAAACTTTGCAGATGGCCTAACTTTCGTCCTAGGCCACCTAGAACGACGATTTTTGGCTCATTTTGACCCCCCCCCCCAAAAATTGCTTTTTTTCAGCTCGCAAATGGAAGTTGGGGGAATTCGGAACACGCGACAGTGTTCACCATCGCTGCTCTCCTCTTTCTTCTCGTCATCGGTCTTCTGTTCGTCGCAATCTTCTACCGTATCGGAAATCTGCTCATTCCGCACATTGTCATGCAGATTTTGCTCGTTTTGTGCTTTCTTGGGCTCACGTTTGCCACGTTGTACGCGCTGTTCCATGGAGCGACGTTTCAGCTGTTGGTGGTGATTACGAATCCACAAATTGCCGCTGATTCGATGGTAAGGCGTGGGGGACATCTGGACACACAGATGGACAGAAAAATTGAATTGTAAAAATTGAAAATTTTTACGTGAACTTGAAAAAAATAAGTTTTTTAAATTTAATTTTCATTTCAAAAATTATTAATTTTCAAAATTATTAATTTTTGAAATTTGAATTTTTTCGTGAAATTTCAAAATTCTGCGTTTTTTCGGGAAATTTTTGAAAATCGAAAAAATTCATTTTTGCGAAAAATTTAATTTTTACGTGAAATTTGAAAATTTCATAATTTTTACGTGAAAATTTAAAATTCTGCGGTTTTTCGGAAAATTTCGAAAATCGAAAAAGTTCATTTTTGCGAAAAATTTGAATTTTATTGACTTTTACGTGAAAAGTTAAAAATTTGAATTTTTACGTGAAATTTTGACGTGAAATTTGAAAATCATTGATTTTTACGTGAAATTTGAAATAATTGAAAATTATCGATTTTTTCCTGAAATTTTTTAAATTTTATTGATTTTTTCGTGAAATTTGAAATAATTGAAAATAATTGATTTTTTTCCTGAAATTTTTTGAATTTTATTAACTTTTTCGTGAAAATTAAAGGTGGTGTACGGTGAAATTTTTTGTTGCATCAAAATGTGCAGAAATGCATGTAGATTGACATAAAAATAAAGAAAAAAATTCGAAAAAAATTCCTTCATCGAGAAAAACGCATCGAAAAATACGCTGAAAGCCCTTAGGGACGAGGTTTTTTCTAGGCCGCCCGGTGAGTAAAAGCGCGCGAATTCAAACTTTTAAAATTTTTTCGCTCGTTTTCACAGTTTTTTCAAATTTTCCGATG